AATCTGGTTTTACTTATATGTTTGTGTAATTGAAAGTAATTATGAGAGGTTGTATGAGAAGTTTAATTTCACAGAAAAGTTTTCTATACATATTATTGCTTATGAACTTACTTCAGTTCTGAAACTGTAATGAACAAGTATATGATCTGAATTGAAATAAATAAATAAACACTTTTTAGAAAATACACTTTTATTGTATTTAACTAAACAAATAAATTGTTCTTAAAAGATAGCAAAATTTAAATTTGACAAAAACACAAAAAAAAATTTTTATAATTATTCATACTTGGATGATAAAGTATCATGACGCTCCTGGTGTTGTGTGAAGAGCAATGACTCTCAGATTTGAAAAAAAACCTGTTAATTTTTAAATGCTTTTTATATGTAATTAAATTAACAGGATGTTAATTTTCACATATGACATATGGACTGAAAATTTTGTCCATTAAATCCAAAATCTGTTAAATTGAGGTTTTACTGTACTGTTAAATTTAAGAAATTAATCCTGTTAAAATTACTGTTTGTTATAGTCAGAACTATTCTGTCATGAATATAATTAGAAATGATAAAGACTAAGTTAGCAAAATATCAAAATTACTTGTGTTTATAAAATATTTTGTGTTTGGGGATTTATTTTATAAACACAAGTATAGCTATTATTAAATTGGATTCACAACCAGATCTATAGTATAGCTAAAGGGTACAAGAGCACTTAGGTTGGCAGCAACTGGTAATTGCAATATAGTTATATCATTCACACATGTTTTAAGCTTAAGATTATTTTAAAATGTTACTTCAAATTTAAAAACATCTTAAAAAGTAATTTAAATATTTTATTCTATAATGAATTAACTGAAAATTCTACAAAGAATTTAAAAGATTTTTCTGTTTTTTGGTAAAAAACACAGAGAAGTTTGCATCTTATTAGTTATTATTATTATTATATTGAAAAGAGCTGAAAACATATTTTTTTTTGTGAATTTAAGAATTTGGTTTCCTTAAGAAGCAGTTGTTACAGATTTTATTTGATTTTTATGAGATTTTTACCAATATGATTTATGAATTCCTGGGCTCTATTTTAGTTTTTCCAAATAATAAACATGTCAAATACCTATCTTACTATCAGTTTAATTTTTTAATGCAAAATCTTTCTACCTATTGAGCACAACCTCAGCTAATCTCTAAATGCTGGTGACTCCATACAGACTCCTCTTTTCTGTAAATAAAACTTGTTAATCCATGAAAAGTATGAGTGAGTTATTTAACATATGATCTAAAAGGTCTGCTACTTGCCTTTAATTTGTCTAATGGTGCTTAACCATTAGCACA